TTAATCGTTATGCATATGAATTGCAAATGTTCTTTTAATAATTTTCTGTTTCGTAGCTCCTGTGCATTTGCACGGGCAATTGTACTAGTGTATTTAATCTGATAGTGTGGGCCTGCTTTGAAGCTCCCACCTCATAAGGGCATCAAGTCCATTTTTTTTTTTTTTTTTCATTCATTCAATCAAAAAATTAAACTCTCTCTCATTCACATCTCTTTTTACTAATTCTCTCTCCATTTAAACACACACCCACATCCCTACACATTCATTTAAATACATATGTGGGACTCATTATCCACTCATTTAATATATTTTTTTACATAATATTCTCAATAAAAATAAATTTTAATAATTTTAAATTATAATAATAAATTATAAATGCATGAAAATTAAAAAACATTACAAGACCAAAATAACTTAAATTAAGATTACACGAGTAAAAAATAATACAATTACAAATTTTTTTTTTTAGTTATTGGCAAAATGAGTCCAAATAAAATTTGTATTCATCAATATTGGAGAGTGTAATGTAGATAAAAAAAAAATAATAATAATATAAAAAAGGAAAATAAAATAATTAAACAATTAAGTTAAAAAAAAAAACGCAGCCTGAACGCGTTCAATGGGGTGAACGCATTTGAGGGCCCCGTAAATTAATGAATGGCCACGTCCCTTTTGAATGCACAAGTGGCGTCTAAACGTCCCAAATAAATTGATCAATGCGGGTGCTCTAAGAGCATCTCCAACCATGCCCACTGTACATACAGTTTTTACAATAAAATCCCACTAGTTATACAGTTTCAACAGTACCAGCAACTCCAACCCATTCCCTCTATAATTCCCCTCTAAAAGAATATTTCAAGCATTTCTTTTTTAATTTAATTAGTTTACTAAATAATCTCTACAAGTTACATTGTAATGCATTATGCGTGCTAAATTTTACATATCTATGTATATATATTAATTATTGGTTAATAAGATTAATTAATAAATTTAAATCAAAATTATAAAATTACATATAAAATTATAATAAGATTAATGCATTATTCTGATTTTGTAATTTTAACTTGTTTGTTTGAAATATTATTTAAGGAAATTTAAATTCTAATTAATATTCTATCATATTATGTAATAAATTATTCAATTTTTTTATTATCTACCATATTAATTACAATAATTAAATTTAAAACAATCATAAAATATTTTAATTCAACCCATAAAACTATTTAATACAATTAGCCCAATTATAGTTAAAAAAAGCCCACCCAATTTAAATAGCCCAAAATACAACCCAATTTAATTTTTTAACAAGAAAAAAAGAAATATTTATAGCGGATGAACAGTGGAACAGTTACCAAACCATTTCACAAAACCCCTCTGCCGTTTCCTACACACATAGAGGACCCGATTGAAGATGAAATATCTCCACCCTTACAGTTTCCGCTTCCTATAGCGTAAGGGTTGGAGATGCTCTAGGTCATAACGAAATAAACTATTACACCCTGTATACTTCTTTGTTGGGGGCGAAAATCATATTTTTCCTCCTTTTTTTTAGTTGATTTTCTTATTGAAAAATAAAAATGACGTTGGAAAATGACTATTTCATAATAAATTTTCAATAACTAAAATCTAACGATTGCTATTTTAATAGTACCTCACATATATATATAAAAATAATGATGATCTGAGTTTTATTAGAGTAGAGATTTGAAATAAGGTGGATGGAATTAATGAAACTATGAGTAATTGGAGGATATTTTATGAACTGAATCCATATTATGCGATTTACTGAAGAGTAGGCACGTAAATAACATCAATATGCCTTGTCCTTCCATCTTAGATCAAAAGCTGAGCATAAATTAAATATACACAAACAAATACACATTTACAGTTTCTCAAGAAGAATGGTGACACCATGTTGCGGTTGTATGACCAATCTAAACACGGGCGAGTGGTGATATGATGGTGAAAGATACAGCTTAAATTTGGACAGAATGAGTGACAGGATGGTCTTGAGTTCAGCCATGGCGAAGTTCTGTCCTGCACATGTTCGAGTGCCCACTCCAAATGGCATATATGCTTGTGGAATCTTGCAGGCCCTCGTAATTCCATTTGCAAATCTATCGGGTTTGAACTTATGAGACTCCAAGTACCATAGCTCTTGGTTCTGGTGCATTATGGGAATAGGTACCTGAATGTTAATACCCTTTGGGACGTTAATTCCCTTCAAGTTGATATCTTGCAAGGCCTCTCTCACCACGTAAGCTACTGGTGGGTAAACACGTAGGGTCTCTTGAATCACCATGGTCAGCTGCCATTGAAATAAGTAGGTTTGGCATCAGTTTATGTCATCTCAATAGGTGTAACTTATAAGTTAGAATTTACCAATACCTGGAAAAATCAATTTGTTTGTATGTAGGCAAACTTTCAATGGTAGTGCTCCTATATATACATAGATGTGTGTGTGTGTGTGTGTGTGTCACCCATGCTAAATGTTTTAGAGATTTACCACTTTCATGCTCCGTAACATTTCGGCTGTAGGGATGTTCGTCCCACATATACGAAGAACTTCCTCACGAGCTCGAGCTTGCCAGTCTGGATAAGCAGCAAGCATCAACAAACACCATGATGCCGAAATAGATGTGGTCTCATGGCCGGCAAAATATATGTTTTTGCAGTTATCTACAATGAACTTGTTGGGGGTGATATCTGCTGGAATGTTGTTGTCACCCACACAACTCTCGGCAGCATCGAGTAGCAATTGTAGAAGGTCCTTTTTGTCATTTTCATCATCATTAGTACGACTTTTGACTACCTCCAGTATCATATCATCGATTTCTCTTTCCAGTTTCCATATATCTCTGTTGTGCTTGGTGGGAAGGTGCCTGATAGATTTTATTGCATCATTCCATCAATTTTCTGCCACAATTTCAAAAAATAACACTGGGGTTTGGACTAATTACGAAACAAACCTTATTATTATTATTATAGCCCTACTGGAATTGCAATTTATAGAAAAGGAACAAGTATTCCAAAGATCGTTTAGAGTTTTTCTCCCTTTCCCATAACTAGACAAAATTCGTGGAAAAAAGTACGGTGCACTGAACACTATGAAGAATGAGGCTTGGGTTTCATCTGTCCTAGTTGTTCAACTCAAAAGTGGCTGTAGGCATACCTTAATCCAGGAACACCAATAAATCCCCTCGACATTATCCTTTGAAGTAACTGAAGTTTAGTGAATATTTTCTCCCCTTCTTTGTAGCTGCTTCCAAAACAAGCTCTTGATATAATATCTGCCGATAAGCTTCTCAAATCCTCGTCTACTGTAATTTCAACCTTTACTTCGCCACTATCAGTTTTCCTCTCCCATGCTTTTAGCATAATCAATGTGGACTCGGCCATCAAGTTCACCATGCCCTACCAAGATCAACCCATAAAATAAGCAGTAGTCTGGCTAAAATATGATGCAAAGACTTGCATATTCATTTTCATCAGAAAATACAAAGTCCAATTTACTTGCAGAAGGAGCTACACCCACATACTTTCACTTTATCTAAGTAAAATTCAGGCGCAATGATCTTCCTCTGATGAGCCCAATAAGGCCCATTAGACGACAGGATGCCTTTACCGAGCAGTGGGCCGCGTTCTGTGGATAGATACGAAGGTTTACCGAGGCTCAAAGATGTGCAAAGGCTCAGTTCCTTTACCATCTCCGGATCCGTAACGCAAAGTATCTGTATGTTTCCGGTCGAATACATAAAAGTTGGCCCTGTAATTATAGATCTAGTCAATCACCAATCAAATTTTTGGTACACGTACAGTTCATTTCAAAATGAGCACACTTCCACTCAAGTTGTTGCAACCTCATGATACATCAAAGTATATTGTAATTCTGACATTCTGTGAAGTAAAGCTACATGCAAATTACACTTGGAAGGCTTACTCGCGGTCAAACTAGATTACAAGCTTCGAGGTTGTTAAAAAATATTGACAGCGAAAATCTCAGTGAGGAATTAGAACGAAAAACTTATCGTCAAGCTTACCGTATTGGTTCCGCCATTTCTCAAGATGCGGGAAGACATTTGCGAACCAATCTTGAAACATCACTTGCGAGGCCGCTGAGCTTTCCGTCGGAGACTGCTGAATCTGAATAATCTTTTTGATTTCAGGTATATTGCCGTAAAAAAGAGAGGGAGAGGGGCCCTTAAACCCTTGTTTTTTGAGTTTCGATCTGAGCTTTCTCGGTTTGAGGATGGAAGCGTCGAGAAATCGGAAGAGAATCACTCCGATAGCTAATGTGGACAGCATATATGCTCCTTTAATCATCTCGATCACCATTTTTCGATCCCCTCAGCTGTTTTTTTTCACTTAGTTTTTTCCGGTGTTGTACTGAAAGTTTTGTCGGTTTTAGCGGTGGCGCATATTGGGCAAGGTGAGTGAATTCGAGACGTTCCCAATTCAAAAGACGTTCAGTTGGCTTGAAAAATGGGTAAATGTCGGTTCAAATCTTTACCGAGGCGGTCATTTAGAAAGTTATTAATTTCTCAATTCCGTTCATTCATCAAACTAACTAGTAGAACGCCACTGTGTTAGAGGAGTGTTTGTTAAAAAATAACTAGTACAGACAAGGTGCACAATTTTAAGGTCATTTATCCAACCTTACAATTATATAAATGAATAAAAAAAATGTACGGGATATATATAGTACGTGAGCTGTGCGGGGCACGAGATATATTTATTTGAGAAATATTATATTATAAGATACAATATTCAATAAAAGCTTTACAATACGCAGGAAAATTGTACAATAAAATAGTATTCGCCAAAGAAACAATACCTCCTATTAACTTGTTTGATTAAGCCAAATCCTTCATTCATTCTTGTAGATGACACACTGATCTGTTTTCTTTTTTTTTTTGTTTTTTCGCAGGTTGAAAGAGAAGAACACGTTGATTCAGTATTAGAAGATTTTTATTTTATAATTGGTTTATTGAATTATATGTAGAGATAATGTCAAGTAAAATCAGATCAATATCTGTAGTAACAAATCAAATAAGATATTTATCGCATTATAATTTAAAATATATTGCATTTAAAAAAAATCTAAACAACTAAAACGTGTGAAATATGTTTTCATTTGGGAAGGAGATAACTATGTTGACTGATCTTATCATCATGTATAAATAATTATAATTTGTAATTGCATTTAAAAAAGATTCCACACCAAAAAAACGCGTGAAATCAGTTTTTATTTGGGAAAGAGACGCGTGAAATCTGTTTTAACATCAGATCAGATATTTATCTCTTTATTATTACAATTTAGATTAAAAAAGATTCCAAACATAAAAAACACGTGACTTTTCAATGCTTGATAATGCAGTAATTAAGTTTGACTTTTGGTAAATAGGTTGACTTTTAATATATATATATATATATATATACTATTTCTATAGGACTTGTACGTCTAGACAAAAAAAAATAGGCTTGGATCATCCATATTTCACATCTTTAATAAGTGGCATTTATTTAAGCCAAAAAATTAACATGTTAATTAATATATAATTCCGCTAACACGTCATACTAATATTTGTTTGATTTTAGAATACATATTTATTCATTGATATAAGAAAAAATATAAAATTTATTTATTCTCGTTCACCATATAATACTCAATTATTATTTATTATAAAATTTATAGTCATATAATGTCATTGTTATTATTTATAAAAGTTATAGAAGTAGTATTTTGTATGTAATGAAATTCAAAATAAAATTTTGAGTACAAATGTTTACAAAATACACACACATGTTTTCTAGAATTCAATTTTCTCATAATTATTCTTTTTTTTTTAAAAAAAATAATAATTTAGCAATTGCCAAAAAAATAAATCCCTTACATAATCAAGAGATTTTTTTCTAATTTTCATTCTAAGGCTTTATAGTTTATTTAACATACTATGCAATAGAAAAATATTTTACAATAAATTTATTTTTGAAAAATAAAAAAAAGTGATAAAAACACTATCATAGTTGACAATAATATACAAATAAATGACATGTCGAAAATTTAAAGAATAAATAATATAATTTTATTATCTAACCATCACTAAGATCATGTAATGATGTGATGATTATCTTTTAAATGATAAATAATATTATTTTTTTAAAAAAAATATTAGTTTTATATAATTAAATAAAGGTTAAAAAATATTACTCGACAAATATCAATTATAATGGATATCAGTAAAATCATTGCATAAAAAAATCTTTAAGATCATAACTGAATAGTAAAATGTAAATATGCAAGCATTTAATGAATATAGTAAAAAATTTCTAAATAAAGTTTGCATTAAATGTGTGTTGACTTTTCTTGCTACTATTTTTGGTTAATAGGTTGGCTTTTAATATATAGATATATAGATTATTAAATTTTAAAACCAATGAGATTTTTTTTTAAAAAAAATTATTTACCTTTTTATAAAAAAATATATATTATATATATTTTAGAGTGACACTTGTTACTTGTGCGACTTACATGGGTTATATTATAGTAATTTTTTATAATTTATATCATATAACTACTTGAATACAAATATTGTTAATTGATAAGTAATTTTAGTTTTCTAATTATTATTAAAAAATAATTTTATTATTTTTATAAAGATAAATATAATTCATTTTTTTATATGTACAATATGGATGTTAAATCGAAGTTCATCAAAAAAATGATTAATTTGATATAATATATAGGCTTAATTGCAAAAAAAATCATGACCTTTTTGTAATTTGTAATTTTATACACCACCTTTTAAATTGGCAAATTCATACATCACTTTAACAATTTTTTGCAATTGTATCCATACGGGCCAAAAATCGGGCTTTTCCTTGTTGACATGGCTTGAACATTTCATTGTTTGTATGCATCGGACTTTCCTTGAACATTTCATGGCAGCTTGTACCGTTCTCGACGGACCAACATCCTCAGGCAGATGATGGGTTACCCATTTGCGACCAGGAAGAACCGCGACCCGAGGACCTTCCCGGGTCATGTGGAAGTGCTCAAGTTTCTGAACCAGTATGCTGCGGACCATGGGCTCACCGATTTGATCCGATTTGGGACTGAAATGTCAATTAAGCCATTCAATAACCATGACAACTGACACATCATTCTCCCCACTCAACTCCAACGATCTCCCCACGGCCTCACAACCGTTCAATGTGGTGGTGATTGGCGCCGGAGTCTCGGCCTATCTGCCGTCGTCGCTCTCAATAGCGAAGGCCACCGAGTTGTGGCCTTCGAGAAATCAGACCAACTAGGCGGCAAGGAAATGTTCAAGCCATGTCAACAAAGAAAAGCCCGATTTTTAGCCCGTATCGGTACAATTGCAAATAATTGTTAAAGTGATGTATTAATTTGTCAATTTTAAAGGTGGTGTATAAAATTGCAAATTACGAAAAGGTCATGATTTTTTTTTTTTTTTTGCAATTCCTAATATATATGTAAAACTGATAAAAATACAAAAGTTATTAACTTTTAAAATATATTACAATTCAATTCTTATAATAATAAATGATATTAAAATAGAATTAATACATTTACATAACTATAAATAACCAATATATATATGGATAATCCGAACCTAATTATTTTTGGATTGAAAGTAAATTAGAATTTATCCAAACCTAATATCAAAGCATGTAATTTTGCCACATAGGAATCCCAAAACATATGAGTCTGCCACTTAGGCTCAGCACGTTTTGAATTAATATATAGGAGGATTAAACCAAGTCTTATGAATTAACTAGAGATTTTTATAGACTTTTTAAGAGTTCA